ATAACATAAATGTTTTTATTAGGTAAATAAATTTGAAACACCAGACCGTTTATGCCCGCCCATTGTATCTCAACATTCAAACTTTTAAAATATTTAGTAATAAATTAAATATCATTTTTACATATAACTAAGTATTTTAGTATAATAAAATTATATTTTACTACGGAAAATATATTTAAAAAAATCATGTATACAAAAATTCTTTACAATATATATATATATATATATATATATATATATATATATATATATATATATATATACAAATTTATCTTCTTTTTTTAAACGAGAAATTATGATGTAAAATAAATTTTAGGTTAACGCAATATAAACTATTTTTGTCTAATGATAAATATCAAATCAGTAAAATTATTTTTTAACTTATCGTTAATTAATATATTAACTACTTTAACTATTAATTAAGGTAAAATATTTTATAACACATTGTAAACTACTTTTAGGTATCAAATTATTGAAATTATTTTTAATTTATGGATAATTATGTTTTGATAAATCTAATTATTTATTAAGGTTGACTTTAGTCACTCTAATTTTTAATGAGAGAATTCTGATACAAAAAATAACTTTGCAAAATCCAAATAGTAGTATAGATAAATAAAATATAGTAAAAAAGTATTGACAAATTTAAGTAGAGTTTAATTTTTGCCTCGTGATGACGTCAAAGAGTCAGACTTGTATGCAATTGTTGTCAATAATCATAATTAACATTTAAAAGCTCTAAGCATATTTTTCTTCATTAATATATTTATAAATAAAAATAAAGATTTGTTTCCAGTATTGTTAACAGCTGTGATATGATACAATTGTATTATTATTATGCACCATATATGGTTATGACTAGAAAATAAAAAGTAAAAGAAAAAAGAAAAAAATAGTATACTATATTACTAAAACTTATAGTTATCTTGACCAAGAAAAAGAGTTATAGCTATCCATGTATATATAGGCATTTATCATTAACGTTGCGTTCTTTCAAATTATCTTATATGTTCTGATCCTCCCCATGCAGGTTCAGTAGTTCTTGAAATATCTTAGTTTGGGGTTTTATCAATGCTAGTTTATGTTTTTGGGTTTATAGTGTATCATTCTCAAGTGTTGGTCTAACATTTTATTGAAGGTTGTAAAAGGTTTACTTGAAAAATGATCGTAGGAGAGAAAGCTAGAGGTGGTTCATCATGGAGTAGGGATGATGATATTGCTTTTGAGAGCGCTCTTGCGATTTATACCGACGAGACAGATAACCGTTGGGAGAAGATTGCTGGGGTTGTTCCAGGGAAAACTGTAGAACAAGTTATAGAGCATTACGAGAGTTTACTTCATGATGTTATGAAA